GGTATCGGTATCGGTATCGATATCGAAAATTTTTGAACGATACCCAGCCCTAATCTATAATCTTTTTTTTTTTTTAAAGAGGTGTTAAGATGTAAGGTTAATGTACATTCAGCCTGTTACTTATATGTTTTAATCCATTACCATGTTCAAAACAGTTTTTCTGTAATCAAATTCTATAATAAGAGTCCTATCTACCATGACACATAAGGAAACATGTGACACAGATTACAAAACCATACAAATAAATTATTTATTTTTGATATAAGTCAGGGGTATTCAATTAAAGTTCCAAGAGGCGCGGCCTCTATATTTTCTATATTTTCTTCCAAGCAGAGGTCCGGACAAAAAAAAAATTACACGTGTTGTATTTTTACATTTAGATACATGCGAAGCCATGTGACAAAAAAAAAAAAATTTTCCTCCTGAAATCTATACTATTTTAATATTTTACTTAAAAGCATTATCTACTAAAATATCTACAATAATTAAAACGTTCTCATCTTGAGCAGAAAAGAAAGACAACCAGCAGTTTCAAAGTTTAAGTTCTATCCTAGCCATCTAACAACAATTTCCCAATTATAATTACATGATTCTTTTGAAATGCTCTTAGCCTACAGATTAATAATGCTAAATGTAGATCAGAAACGTCTTGCCACATCTGGTTTGAACAGGTTATGGATAAATAGATAGTAAGAAAACGAACTATATCTGCAGCATTGTTTTTTATGCTGTGTTTTAGTGAAAGTAATCTATAATTTTGCTGCTCTCCGTGTTTCTGTTGTTGTTAAAATAACCGTGTCATCCGCCGGCACGCGTCTGGAGAGAGAGAGAAAGCGCACAGAGCTGAAAGGGCTTGAATAAAGCGCGTTTGGCTTTAGATAAAAATACTAGAGTAGCCTATATAGCGCTGAAAGATATTTGCCATAAACGACCCCGAGCGCTTGTTATGTGATCCGCTCCGGTGTTTTGACCTTGACGGGCTGCTCACAAAATGGTGCTGCTGTTACGGCTCGCAGTCCGGATGGATGCCGGGGTGCGGATGCGGTCTGCCTTTTGAATATCAGTTATATAAGGATTAAGACACGAGTTGCTTTTAAAACATTCACGAGTCCTTTTCCTCGAGTCGAGTCAAGTCTGGAGTCATTTCAGGTCGAGTCTGAAGTCAAG